GGGGAGTAGAGAGGAATGTTCAGCTCTGGCCTGTGGCCTTGACTCTCTCCAGTCCCCTCAGGAAGAAATTTAGAACAAAGAACGGCGGTCAGAGTTCAGTCCTCAGTTTCCCCTTTATAAGGTCTCCCTGTCAGTGGATCATTAGGTGGGAATCTATGTTTCTGAAAAACAACTCAGGGACATATGTTAAGATGTTTTTAGTTTCTGTAGAGAATCAAACATCCTGTGACTCTAACTTCCTTGGCTATTGTTTTAAGCTATCGTTACCTTCTTGCATATAAGGTCACTCACTTGCTTTTTAGGGCTGGCTAGGTGCCTGGAATTTCTCTTGAAGGAACTGAAGGTTTTTCTTTATTTCCAGGTTGGGAGGCCCTGGCAGGCTTCTGAGAGAGGTTCCTCCTTTATCTCAGATGCTAATGCTCAGAGTGCTACAAAGAACTTGAATGGGAGGTACTGCAACCATGTGGACCTCTGAATCACATTTCTTTACACCGGAAAATGCACCGGCTCAAAATGTCCAACAATGGTCAGAGAGACATCCTCCTCAAAGGAAGAGTTCCATAGAAAATTAAAATAGCCAGTTGAAACATTGGGTGTATAAAGCAAGAGTGGGGAAACAAGCACGAAGGGTGGACTTATACACCTTCATGAGGGTGCTCACACTTGACATGAGAGTATCCTCTCTTTTCCTGGTGGATCAGGGGAAGGTGCTGGTGTGATCTACATATATTCCTTCCCATGGTGGGAGAACACTGGAATAATGACTGTAATTCACCTCAACTTGCTTTTCTCATCCCTGATGCAGTGGTCCCAGGATTAGGGATGCAAATAGAGTCCAGAAACAGGAATTATTCCTAAGCAAGAAACTGTAAATATATTTTATGTCCTTTATGTAATAATTCCTAAGGGCCTGGAGAGGTAGGTTGTGCCTTCACTGCACCTGGCAAAGTTGGGGCTAACACTGAATGCAGCTGTATTGCCTGGGGTCAGATAGTCACCCAGTTCTCTACCTGCATAACCCTCCCCTCTATGAACTGGAATGGATGATGTGAGACAATTGCTAGAACAGTATTGGTCCCTACAGTCCAAGCCAGCACAGCAGCAGAGCCTAGTGTTCCTTCCAAAATTGTAAATGTTTAGTATAAATGAAGAGAAGGAGAAATAGTAGCTGAGGGTAAATGAATGAATAAATGGGTTATGTAATGAGGAAAATCCAATGTTACATGAACTACTCGAAAGAGGTATAAGTAAGAAAGAGTATTGTCCCTTAGCTCGATTTCACCAGATGCCTGAAAGGGTGCAGCCATATGTTGCTGAGACTATTCCTGTTTTTGGACTGCACTAGGATCATTGTTAATGACCAAAGAGGATTCTGGTAATGTACCAGGATCTTTTCACTGTTATGATTCTTCTGGTGTAGGAGATCTGTGATTGGCCAGGCACAGTGGCTCATGCTTGTAATTCCATCAGTTTGGGAGGCAATGGTAGGAACATCGTTTAAGGTGAGGATTTGAGACCAGCCTCTGCAAAATAGTGAAACCCATTCCTATAAAATATTTAAAAATTAGTTGGACATGGTGGTGTGCACCTGTAATGCTATCTACTCAGCAGGCTGAGGCAGAAAGATCACTCGAGTCCAGGAATTTGAGGTTACAGTGAGCTATGATTGTGCCACTGCATTCTACCCTGGGCAACAGAGCAAGAGATTAACTCTAAAATAAAATAATAAATATTATAAGAAGAGAGAATGTGGTCAAAACCAGGGTGTGATCTGTGGTCCAATAAACATATTTGCTCTTTGTCCCTGTTTCCTGACAACCATGTTCTAAAACATTTGCAATCTCCTCAGTGATAAACATGACCTCATATGGCAATGAGATGACTGTGGGGCGAGGGGCTCCTAGATAGCTTCAGAATGGGGGCCGGTTGCTAGAAACATGAAGCAGCAATTAAAGGATTGGAACTTTTAGCCCCATCCCTAAAGTCTGGGAAGGAAAGAGAGGCTCGAGGTTGAGTTCAGTCACACAGTGGCCGGTGATTTAATTAATCTTGCCAAACAATGAAATTTACATAGAAACCTCTAGAGATTGGGTTTCGGAGAGCTTCCCAGTTGGGGAGCACATCCGTGTGTCCACGTGCTGGGAGGGTGGTGAACTCCATCTCCATGGGGACAGAGGCTCCTGTGCTCAGAGCCCTTCCAGACCTCTCCCTGTGCACCTCTTCATCTGGCTGCTCATTTGTATCCTTTATAACTGCTGTGGTTCGAATGTTTCCCCAAAAAAGCATCTGTTGGATATTTCATTCCGAATGCAACATTTTTAAGAAATAGGACCATCAGAGCTCTGCTTTCATTAATGGATTAAGGCTCATCATAAAAGGACCTGAGGCTGTGAGTTTGACCTCCTTTTCCCCCTACCTCTCATCCTCTCTTGCCCTTTTGTTTTCTACCAGATACAGTCTCTTGATCTGGGAATTCCCATCCTCCACACCATGAATGAAACAAATTTCTGTTTGTTATAAGTTATCCAGTCTCAGGTGTTCTGCTATAGTGGCATAATTTAAACCAGGGGTCCCGAACCCCCCGGCTGCGGACTGGTACAAGTTTCTGGCCTGGTAGGAACCAGACCGCACTGCAGGAAGTGATCGGTGGGCGAGAGAGCATGAGCATGACCACCAGAGTTCCGCCTCCTGTCAGATCAGTGGCGGAATTAGATTCTCATAGAAGCACGAGCCCTATTGTGAGCTCTGCATGTGAGAGATCTAGGTTGCATGCTCTTTATGAAACACTAATGCCTGATCATCTGAGGTGCAACAGTTTCATCCAAAACCATTTCCCTCTGCCTTGCGCCACCTCCACTGGCCCATGGAAAAACTGTCTTCCGTGAAACCGGTCTTGGGTGCCAAAATGGTGGGGATTTAAGCTATAAAAATAAAAAAACTGAAATACTGAGTGTGAAAGGAAAGTAAAATTTCAGGACTCCAAATTCACTATACCAAAGGGAAAAGTTAAGTTTGGAGACTGAGTGATGGAAAAACTGGCTTTCTTTTGTTCCTAAACAAATAACTGCGAAGACAGAAGACCCCATATCTCCCCAGGTGGCCTCCCTCACAAACTGCTCACAAGATAATTCCTTGTGGGCCCCAACATCTTTACTCTAAAACGGAGTTTTGTTGAATTTCCCCCTGACAGTGTAAATTAACAGTTTATCTTCATGGGTACAAGACAAAGACAAGACTAGACATCATCCCTTCACCCACCCAGTGACTTTTCTATCCAACGTTTACTTTATCTTATGTAAAATGCAGATTTACTGAGCACGAGATGAATGCATAGTTGACTGTTTTTTTCCCTCTCCTGGCTGCTCTTTCCCCTATAAATATTGAAGTCCTCAAAACCCTGTTAGGAAAAAGCACGGGGCACAGATGCTACAATGATTTGTGTCTCTGTTTCCAAGGTGCATCTTCAGCTCGGCAAAATAAACTTCTAAACTGACTGAGACCTGTCTCAGACGTTTTTTGGTTTACATGACTGTAGCAACGTCCTGAGTTCTTTGAGTTAACTTAAGAATTATCAGTCCTTGGGAGGTGAGAGACCCCTGACTTTGCAGCCATGATAGACAGAAGTGCAGGTAACCTGGGACCCGATACTTGGGACTTGCATCTGAAGTTAGGACAGACTTGTCAGACTGAGCCCTTAAACCTGTGGAGCCCGAGGTGAACTCCAGGTAGTTAGTGTCAGAATTGAGTCGAACTCTAGGACTCCCAGCTGCTGTGGAGAATCAGAAATTTGGGTGGAGGAAAACCCCATCACCATCCCAAAGAGAGAAACTTAGAGTAAGAGTAAGCAAGTACACTGCTATCTTTTTGGTCCCAGAGGAAAAGATAAACAAAATGTAAGCATTTACTTCATGTCCCTAATCTGTAAATACAGGTTACTACCAGGTGTTCATTGTCCAGACGTGGAGTGGTCCTACCTCTAACCTAGAAGTTAGGATTTTTTAGGCCTTTAAGGGTGTCACATAAAAACTAATAAATGTTAGAGATTCTCTCCCCAGAAATATTTCCACACACAAGAAAATATAGATATTATTAGAAAATATCAGTGTGGACCCAGAACCTCTGAGGTCTTACAAACCTGGGTGTTTTAATCCTAGTAAGAGACAATGCTGAGGAAAGATGTTCGAATAATCATTTCATCATCACACAATGCCACTCCAATAATCTAGACTATAAACTGGGATAGACAAAAACTTGATGTAATAATCGATCCTCAAAGCAATGAGTGGAAATATGTTATTTATTAGTGTTGGCTCATTCAGCCACTCTGCGTGCCTATCAGGTACCAGATAAAGTTCTCTTCCTGGATCACTGCTCCGATGATTAAAATGTGTCACTTTTTCACTCCCCTCACACTCCAGCACTTGAACCCTCTTACTACACCAGAATTCCACCTGTCAATGAACAGAGTCAAACTTGGTAACATATTTGAAAAGATTAATTCTGAGCCAAAAATGAGGGACCACAGCCCATGACGCAGTCCTCAGGAGACCCTGAGAACATGTCCTCAAGGTGGTTGGGGCAAAGGTTGGTTTTATACATTTTAGGAACATATGAGACATCAATCAAATACATTTAAGCTATACATTGTTTCGATCCAGAAAGTTGGGACAATTTGAAGCAGGCAAGGTTTGCGGGGTAGTGCTTCTGGGTTATAATTAGATTTTTAATTTTTCTGATTGGCAATTGGTTGAGTTACTATCAATAGAAAGGAACATCTGGGTTATGATAAGAGGTTGTGGAGTCCAAAATTTTCTCATGCAGATGACGCCTCCAGGTGCCAGGCTTCAGAGAGAATAGATTGTAAATGTTTCTGATCAGATTGAAGGTCTGTGTTGGTGGTAAATGCTGGTCAGCTTTTCCTGAATTCCAAAAGGGAAGAGGGCATAATGAGGCATGTTCAACACCTGCTTCCCATGGTGGCCTCAGTCAGTCTTTCAGGTTAACTTTTGAGCACCGTGGCTGAGGGTGTCAGTTGAGATGGTTAGGAGGGGGTGGCTTTGATGTTTATTTTTTGTTTACGACATGTAAAATGTTGAGAGGAGACAGACACCACCTCCCTCCCTGGAAGAGGACAAGACTCCAGTCATCCCCGCAGTTGATCATGGACATGCGTCTTAAGCTCCACCAGTCCGATGACCACCTGCTGAAGAGGTGTCATTGTCCTAGGTAAATACTAAGGGTGTGTCATCTCACGTCAAGATGAAGGACACTGACACATGAGCAGTGAGTTTAGGAGCAAAGCATTTAATAGGCAAAAGAAAGACAAAGGGGAACAGCTCTCTTCTTGTGAGAGAGAGGGGCACCCAAAAGAGAATTCCGGCCTGGAATGGGAGTGCATCGGATTTTACAGGCGGGCTTGAGGAGATGGTGTGTGATTTATGTAGGGCCCACAGGTTGGTTGGACCAGGTGTGATATTTACATAGTGCAAGTGGAAGGCTGTTCACCCCACCCTCATCCTATTATGCAAATGGCTTTCCACTTGACCAGCACCATGTTGTCTGCTCCTTACTGTAAGGAAGGAGCCTGGTAAGCAGAAGGGAAGATGGAGTCGCCATTGTGAACATGCCCAGTCCCAGGTGTCCGATTCCTATTGGCACAGCTGCCGGCATTCACCCGTGCAAGCTTCCAGCTTATTTGTCTATGTCTGAAGCTTGATATTACAGGCTGCACCTTGTTAGAAAAGAAAATAATTTGGAGCCTGCTTTTCATTAAAAGCCTTCCATACCCTCACTACCTGTCTAACTAATTTCTTCTTAAGTCTTATATCACTGCCAGACTCTGAGCCAGACTGAGGTGACAGAGAGGCTGGGACTGTGCAGAAAACATTTTAGTAAAGATGGCTGAGTGGCAGTAGTGATGTCCAATTACCAGGTGCAGCAGTGACATCTGTCCGGGCCTCGGGGCCCAGTGTCCAGCACCAGAGTGTCAGAGGTGTGAGCAGTGGCGTCTGTGCTCAGCAGCAGGGGCAGTTGTTCCTAGGAGGGACCTGATCTTGGGTGGGCTGTGGATTCTGTTCCTGGATGTGTAGGTTCCAGCCTGCTTCTGTGGCCTTCCCCACAATAAAACTAGCCCCCAATACCAGATATATGACTTTATGTGTAAATTACAGAAATTTGGTTTCCATAGTTTGCTCCAAGAAGTAAGTGTGAAATGAGTCTGTGGGCTGGTGTCAGAGAGCGGCATTCACAGGTGTTCCTTGTGCGAGAGCCACATCCTGAATTCTCTACCTGG